CTTCCCCAGCTGTATCCCTGTGCAAACAGTGCCCATCTATTCTCCCATGATTAATTGATGTCACATTTTTAAATGAGTATTCTTTTGCTTTTTGATTTAGATCTAAAGACCAGACTTCTCATCATCCACTGGATTATGCCAAAGGCTTTTCTACCCAATGATCCTCTTGCAACACTCTGGGCTTCCTCTACCTAAGCGACCTTCATCCTCTCCTCCTATGTCAGTGGCTACCAGGTCTACAGGAACTTTGCAGCTTCCATCACAGACACCTTTTGGGCAAGAGGCTTCCTTGCCTCTGGCAGGGGAAGACGACTTACCTAAGGGAGGGGAGCAAGACTCTGCCCTGGAGGAGCTATGTAAGCCCTTGTACTGCAAGCTTTGCAATGTCACCCTGAACTCAGCACAGCAAGCCCAGGCTCATTATCAGGTAAGGGGAGAAAAGACAATCAGGTCTTCAATAGAACATTTCAGGGCACTGCCCATTTAGCTGTTGCCTCTCCAGATGTGACCAGTTATACCTGGAATAATCAAGATGGTTTGGTGAATAACTGAGTATTCATTTGTTTGACTAAAAGCATAATGTTCCTACTTTAAAAGAAGCCACTACTTTTTATAGAATGGGGTTTCAAATAATCCCTTACACTTAGCTGTGTGGCATATGATAACTATTATTCCCTGTAGACAAATATGAATCATCTATGCTGGTGTTTGAACCTGTGGTCCCAAGTATAGATATTTGAAACATGATGTACCAAACGCAATTCAGTGTCAAAATTATTTAGAAGAATTAGTCTTATAAATATGACCTTCTGGCTGTACAGTTTGCATCACTTCATGGTAATCTCTGTGTATCAATTTTACACTTTCTCTTCTTTGACCTCTAACTTCCTGTGTTCCTGTCACTGCTAAAGAATACACAGGTCTCTTTCTGTAATGAGAATAAAATGACATTGGAGTATTGAATCCTCTCCCTTATTCATAATGAGTGTATTCTAATTTCTTTTAACTCATCAGTGTGAGCTGATTGTTATTTTTAAGATTTAAAGCTTTCACTTCCATGTAGAATAGCCAGTGGAAAGGACAGTTTTAAAGATGATTATTACCTAAGAACAAAAGGAAATTTTGGCCAGGAATAGAGTATACAATATCTCTTTTTATTCTACATTGTTGTCTATATGAAATTACATAGTTTTGTTTTTGGAGAAAGGAGGTCTGAGAAGAAGTAGAAGTCAAATCCAGTTAAACGAAGGGATGTCTTTTGGGCTATCTTTGACTGTCTGTCCTCTGCTTGTGTATTTCCAGGGGTGAAACATTGAAGGCCAGTGTGGTAGGAAGCTGACTACTTAAAAGTTATTTCTTTTAATGTGCTACTCTAATTTTCTCCAATTTAAAGTTTGGGTATAAGTCATCTTCTTCCCCAGTCCCAAAGACTGATGATTGTATTTCATCAGAATTGTTTTGATGATTAATTGTTATCAATGGAAGTTAAGGAAAATCATAGTATGTTGCTGCACTGGAGTCCCCTTCGTTTTGTTTTGGCCTGAGGTGTAGAAATTTGAGTTAATTTTATCCCTTTTATCTTGGCACATGTCATCATTGGTTCATCAAAGCCTCCTTCTGGTTTTATTTTACTTTCTTCCCTTTTCCTAATACCCACTCCCATTCTTTCTGTATAATCTTTCCCCAACCACAGTGAATTGCTATCAAGTCTTCCTTAGTCTGTCTACCACTTAAATGGGGTCTGTTAGGATGGTATGTCTCAAACCCAAGACATTATGTTATCTTTCTTCTTTATTTTATTCCTTTAGAATGCTTAGTTTTATAGCCTAATATTCACTTTGAAAAATCAAGCCTAAACTCTAAATTTTGGATTTTTAGCTGCATAAAACCCATACAAAATCATAAATCATAAACTTGGGTGCAAACCTGCTTGTGTGCTATATACATATAGTTATCTTTTAAAGAAGAGTTGCTTACCTTTATTGGGGAAAACTGTTGGGCAATGTGCAATTTTAATATGCATGTGCTTGGATTATACATATTCCTTGTGCTTTTTGCTCCCGGCCACTTTGTGACTCTAGACAGTGATGGATGCTTCTAGTACTGTGTAGCGAAAATTCAATTTGATGCAAGGTCATTGGATGATAAGGCTAAACTGGATAAGACACAGAATCTATGTCTATTTAGGTTTTTTATTTTATTGTACATTTTGTGTTTGCTCTAAATTTATGAGTTAAAATTAGTAATTCTATTTAATTTCAGCTCCCTTAGTGATACAGTGAATAAAGAGAATATAAGAAATGGGAAGTAAAATTTAGGTAGATTCCTCAATAATCAGAATGTGTAAGCAGTGAAGTTGGAGGAGAAGGGGAGCCTGTTCTGTTTCAGTTAGCAGAAATTCTAGTCATAGGGGACAATTTAAATGGCCAAAAAACAGAGTAATGATATGGGAAAGAAGAAAAGCAGGTATTAATAAATTAGAACCTAACAGAAAATGAAAAGTTGGGGAATAATAGAATATGTTTCTAAGAGTTTAGAAGCTAACATTTGAATGAAACTGATGTTATTGGTAACTCTTAAGGAGGGGGAACGTCCTTACAGAGTAACCAGGCAAAGCAGTTGCTATGTAAAAGTGTGGAGCAATTTGATTAAGGTAGCATAGAGGTTAATCTTCATCGTGAAATCTGTATTTCAACAGGATGGAAATGGTAAAGATAAGAGAGTGTATCAAAGAATAGATTAGAATAGAATAATAAATAATCAGAGCATGAACAATGACCTATGGGAGGGTGAACCAACAAAGCAAGAAAGTGTAAAACCATAAGCCTGAAAGATGCGCAATAGCTTACCAGAGTTAAAGACCAAGAAGTAAGGCCAACCCAAAACAAGAAATCTACAGAATGGCAGCGATTGTAAACTAATAAAACAGAATGGTTTAAGATGAAGTGAGATGATGGATTAGGTTTTATCTCAACTCTACAAACCGTTTTTGTAATTTTTAACAGAAAGTAATATCAAGGCTGTAAATTCATTATGTCAGTATATGTAAGGTAGGAGGAGTCACCGTAGCCTTGTTTATAAGCTATAAACACATTCATGTGAAATGATAAATCAGTGTGATTATATTACTCAGAACTACTTAGCCAGTTGATGCCATTGTTGAAATCTCAAGGTTTCAAGTTGCTAAGGGTATTGAAACAGTCATTGCTCTAGTTGGAGCAGTGTTAATGCTAGAGTCTGACTGTATCATGTTCCAGTAATCTAGGACACACATGGAAACTGCTCAATAAATACTTCCCTTAAGCTTCCCTTTCCCTGACATCCCTGGTATTCCCGAGCTGGGCCTGCCTTAGACAGAAATAATCCATGTGTGTCTGTGGTTGCCACAAATTTAGTTTTAGTCCCAGAACTTTTAAAACTAATTGTTCTGCTCCGTTAACACTCTAGGCTGTTGTTTTATTTTTAATGAGGTTAGTTTTGCAGACTCAAAATGATGGCTTTGGTTGTAACTTAATTTAAAATCAACTCTTTGCAAGAAAAACATGTTTTCATTTTATTAAAATCTGTCTGCATGCTGCAGGTTACTTAGGGCAAGCTTGGCATGGAGTGACATAACACTACTTCATCAGCATAAATACCTAGAGGAAGAACCACTTTCGGATGGAGGGTTATTAACATAAATTTTAAAAAATGCAAAAAGTATGGATAAATTTTACAGAGGCATGCACAGTTTAAAATAAAGTTGACCAGTTTGTCTGCTTATTTGCTTATCTATTTGGAAAAGAATTAGTTCCTTTAAAGTACATGTAAAATTTTTTTCTTAGACATAGATTTATATTTTTAATATTTGGTAGCCAAATAACAATCAGATTAATTTGAATGAGAAATAGAACACAGGGGAAAGTAGTTCTAGAATGATGCTGCTGAATGTAGTGATCTTAATTCTTAATGCAGAGCATGTGGTTAGATATTATCTCCAAATTTAAAGTACTGATTTTGGCATGTATATTTTATATTGATCACCCAGGTTTGGAGGCATGGTCAGCAGCTCTAAGCTTAGCTAATTTTTATGTTTTCAAAATTCTCCCATTTCAATATGTCACAAGTAGAGAGCACTGAAGAAAACCTGGTGAACTGATTGCCTTTCAAATAAACTTGCAGTCTGAGAATGGTCAACTGTCCTTCAAATTGAGTGTTGTTAGATGTCATCCAGTCAGCACCTGACTCATGGTGACCCCACACACAGTGGGACAAGCACCGCCTGGTCCTGCGCCATCCCCATAATCAATGCAGAGCTGACTGTTGTGACCCATGTGGTTTTCATTGGTTGATTTTTGAAAGTACATTGCTAGGCCTTTTTTTTGAGTCCTGGTCTGGAAGTTCTGCTGAAGCCTTCTTGGCACTGTAGCAGCACAGAAGCCTCCATAAAGCCTCCAGTGACAGATGGGTGGTGGCTATGCATAAGATGCATTGGCCCAGAAACGAACCTGGACCTCCCTCATGGAAGGCAAGAATTCTAGCATTGAACCACCAATACCTTACCAAATTTATGTTCACTTGTGTGCTTCACAGAGTAGATAGAAAGCATAAGTACTTTAGAAGTAGACAGATTTTAGGCAGCAGTTCTGGCTTCTGCCTCTTGGGATTTTGGGCAAGATGCTTCACCTTAACTCAGCATCTGTAAAGTAGGTAGTTGTACCTCTCTTATAAGATTGTGAGAACTGTGTATGTTATTGCAATAAATGCTAGTGTAGTGTTTAACTTTGTGTGTCAACTTGGCTGGGCCTGGCTGAGTGGCTGGGCACCTGGTGATAGTTATTCCCCATGATGAGACTGGCATTCAGCTTCATGGTGGGACCTACCACAAGCAGTTGAGTAGCTGCTTTAGGGATGTAGTATGCTTCCCATATATAAGCAACAGCTTTGGGAACGGTCTCTAGCTTATGGGATGCTTGAACGCTGCATGTAGCTGAGTTGTTCGTTGTTCAGCAGCCTGCCCATGCTCTGCCAATCTTGGGACTTTCATGGACTTGAATCAATGGCCTGCCATGTGTTTTGGTAACATTGGGGCTATGCCTTTTTACTTGTCAACCTTGGGCTTGTCAGCCTCAGCAGCCAGCAAGTGTCTGAGCGAAGAAAAGCCTCTAGCTTCAGTGGGCTGGGAGCAGAAGGCAGAGCTGAAGCCCAAGGCTGAGGGGCTTTCACCCAGCCCCTAGAGCCTGGCACTTTGAACTCAGACTTAAAGCCTCTAAACTATAAGAGAATAAACTCCTGTTTGTTCAATCCATCCCATTTGTGGTATATTCCTGTCAGAACAGCACTAGGTAACCGAAACAGCTGGTCAGTTGAAATATATTTCTTTTGTTTAAAAGTGTTTGAATCTCAAATGAGCAAAGGTTCATTTCATTTTGTGTTTTAGAAGGATAT